CTTAAAATGCTTCAATTTACAGAATGGGTTTCATGCCTAGAGCAATTTGTGGTGCCTCTGTTTTTAAAATCTTTGTACCTTCGTGTTTCTAAGGACGCTGGAGGGAAAAACCACACCCTATTCTCCAAGGTCTCTTCCACCAACTTCACATTGCCTCCTCCTTGTCTTACTGACCGTCTCAAGGTTTTGCTACTTCCTCTCTATTTTGATACATAAGCAAGGTGGATGTACTGAGCTATCCCAAATGCACACCCACAAGGTAAAAGTTATCTCCCTTCTTCCTCTCCTAAATTGTATTTAGTGCTGCCCACACAAGCCCAAAGACCGCTTGTTCTGAAGTCCATCTTGGCCATGGCCCCACCGTTCTCATCCTCCTGTGGGCAGGACTCACGGGCTTTGGGAGGCCAGCAAGCAGCGGTAGTGCTGCGTGAGGGGTCTTGGCATCCACAGGTTATTTGTATTAGCTCCCCAGATTTTGGAAGAAGGGAAGATCAGATCACGGCTTTGGAGCCTGGCTGACTTGCAGTAGGCCCCAACCTGATCACAGACTACCGTGTAAGCCAGGGGGAAAAAAACCATAAACAACAACCCACAACCTTTTCCAAGTTCATTATGGAGGGGGAGAGGGAGATGGGGAGAAAAAGGAAAACAGCTTTCTTCCCGCTTAAGGTAGTCTCCATTTTTACTAGCAATGTATCAGCATAAACATGTAGGAGTTTCACTAAGGGCAAATGCCGGGGGCTGCACTTGGGCCACAACAACCCCCAGCAGCGCCACAGTCTTGGGGAGGAGTGGCTGGAGAGCTGCCAGTCAGAGAGGGACCTGGGGGTGCTGATTGCCAGCTGTCTGAACATGAGCCAGCAGTGTGCCCAGGGGGTCAAGGCCAATGGCATCCTGGCTTGTGTCAGCACTAGCGTGGCCAGCAGGGACAGGGAAGGGATCTGACCCCTGTACTCGGCACTGGTGAGGCCACACATTGATTCCTGGGTTCATTTTTGGGCCCCTCATTCCAAAAAGGCCATTGAATGACTCGAGCGTGTCCAGAGAAGGGCAACGGAGCTGGTGCAGGGTCTGGAGCACAGGTCTGATGGGGAGCGGCTGAGGGAACTGGGGGGGTTTAGTCTGGAGAAAAGGAGGCTGAGGGGAGACCTCCTGGCCCTCTACAGCTCCCTGAAAGGAGGGTGCAGAGACGGGGGATGAGTCTCTTACACCAAGGAACCAGCACCAGACCAAGTGGGAATGGCCTCAAGCTGCGCCAGGGCAGGGTCAGACTGGCTCTTAGGAAGTATTTCTTTGCAGAAGGGGTTGTTGGGCATTGGAATGGGCTGCCCAGGGCAGGGGGGGAGTCCCCATCCCTGGAGGGGTTGAAGAGTCGGGTTGACCCAGGTGCTGAGGGATCTGGTGGAGCTGGGAACGGTCAGTGCTAAGTGAACAGTTGGACTAGATGATCTTCAAGGTCCTTTCCAACCTAGATGATTCTGTAAACCAACACACACGCTCATCGCAAGGCTGTAAAACTCATTACAGCATTTTAAAGCAACTCTGGTAACCTTGTTCATAGACTGTGATTTATGCATATGCAATCACCCCTCTACATCATCCCTACCTACCTCTGCAGACATGTTATGCTCACTGCTCTCCTCCCTGCACCTCCTGACCCAGCAGCACACGGATGTGCATATGAAAAGGGAACCGACACCTTTGCCCCAGCGGATTATCTGTCAGTACCGGAAAGAACTGTAACCCAAACTCACCACCTTCCCAGTCCAACATAAACTCAGGAGCCGTGTTGAAAGACAAAATCAAAGCACTCTGCTTGGCAATCTCCCAACACACCTTCCCTTCCTGCATGCTGTTGGGAGACACCACATCCTGCTGAGAGATCCTCTTCCCCTCATACCCATCCCACTTTCCCTGAGCTCTGGGGCACCCTGGAAGCCCTCAACTTCAAACCCTCTCCGCACCTCCCAGGAGTTCAGATCTGGGGCTGAGACAGCAAAGACAGTACACAGCAGCAGGAGGTAGTGTTTTGGGGCTTGAAGCCCCGCCTGCCTCCACAGACAGATGTTTTCGTTGAATTATTAATGTAACTAACAATATCATACGGTGCAGTGTTGCCAGTGCTTCACACAAGGCCAGTTGTCTAAGGTGACAAAACCCTTTCTTAACCCATCTACCCCGACTGCATGCAGCCCCTTTGTCCCATACCTCCCTGCTGAATTCCCCAAAGCTGACATCTTCTGACCATCCGTAACTGTGAGGCCTGGTCCCATCACCTACTGGGCGTCAGCGGATCTTCTTTAAAGCACATTTTGGCCACCAAATACTCTACCCCAATGGTTGTTGCTGCGCTGCCTCAGGGTAGTGACAGATCTTACGGTCAGGAAGGGCACTGCAGGAGAAACATTTCCTTCCCAAGTGACCCTAGTCCGGTACAGCCCTCAAAGCAGAAGGTGCTCACCTCTTGTTCACCACGCCACCAGGTACCTCCGAGCATTGTTGGCCAGTGAAAGCCTCCATCCCCTTTGTCAGAGGTTTGGGTCGGTAATACTTAACATTGCACCTGAGGCTCCATCATACCTCAAAGCCCCTTTCAACTTCAGTGAAAGACTTGGCCAAACCAGAACAGCAGCCTCAGCTCTGATTTCTGCTGAGCTACACACCACAGCCCCTTATGATTCAGATAGTCGAGCTCTAGGTGAAGGCCAAGGGAACTAGTCCCTCTAGCAAAGCCTGTTCCCTCCGTCGGCTCCTGCAACCCACGGCAGAAGAGAAAGTGCCACAAACAGCAGTAGTTGGGTGTTGATTTGGTATCAGCGCTAAGCCACAAATGAAACAGCACGCTGAGCTCGACATAAAGACACAGCTCTCGGGGCTGAGTTCAGAATGAGGCTGACAAGACCATTACCTTGTTTGTGCTAAATTCCTGCTTCTTACACCTTCCCGCGGCAACACCTGCACAGAGCCTTTACCTACACAGCTCCAGCCGGGCAAGTCAGGTCTTCCTCCGAGGGGCAGGAGGGGACCAGCAATGGCTGCACAGCCACCACAGGCTCTGCAGGGTTGTAACAGTGTTGTTTCCTTTCCCTGCCCATCTCCCCGAGCTGCAAACAGCCCGGGGCTGGGCACTGCCAAAGCACTAGCAGGGTGAGGGGGACAGATCAAAAGCAGAGAGATCAAGAGAGGGCAGGAGGCAGGAGGGAGCACACCCCCATCCCACCCTTCCTGCTTCCTCCTGGGCTTCAGTTCAGTGCTCCGTAGCCTAAATACATCCATCTCCCCCCAGGCAGAGAGTTAGTTAACCACGTGGCTGATTCTCTCCACCAGCATTCATACTCTATTTTTCACTGCGCAGCAGCATCCTGTGGATTTCCCAGCAGTTGAAGCCACAGAGATCTGCTGGGCAGGGCCCGGCTGTGAGGCCAGGCACTCCCCATTAAAGGGGGCTTTCCAGAAAAGCAGGTACCAAAGACTATTTAGGTGAGAAGGCTTCTCCTGCGTTTCCTCAGGCATGGCCCCCTCCATCTTTCTGAGCTCTCAGCATGCCGGTGATGGAAACTGGAGGTGGGGAAAGCCGCACCCACGGGTGCTGTTGAGGCGAGAGCCCCGCACATTGTTTTAGCTGAGCAGAGGCTCGTGTCCACACAAACAAGGAGCACTGGCTTTTCTGCCTCTTGCCACTCCTCCTCCCCGCCAGGTCCAAATAAGGAACTCGGCAGTGAATCCTGCACTTCATAATTTGTGTGCAAACTATGGGAAGACAAGAGGCAGAAAAACCTGTTCCTACACCAGTCCTGCCCTCCCCCTCCAGCTGCATTTGCTCCCCATCATTTGAGATTTCAAGGTGTTCAAAGCAGTCACCTACCAGCCATTCTTCAGGAGTGATAAATGAGTTTGCATTTTACTGTGGCAGGGCAGATCAGAAAGGTCTAGAATGAGGGTGGCAAGCCGCCTCAAAAAGGTTAAACCACATGTTTGCAGGGCCCCTCCCAGCCACAGCTAAGGAAGGCTTGAAGGCCAGAAAAGCTTTTTTTTTTTTTTTTTTTGGTCTGAAAGGATAAGAGGAAGGAGTAGGACTATCAAATCTGGTTTCAGTTTATTTCCAGAATTTTACTGTACAAAATATGCAAAGTGTAAAACGGTTTATGTTTCAGTTTAAAAACAACAAAACCCCATCCAGCTATAACTTAAGAGAACCCAGCTTGGAACAGAACAGTTTACTAGGCTAGACCCACAGTGCATTAATGTCACAGACACCAGGAATTTGCTTACTTAAGTTCATGATTAGAAAAGAACAGAAAGACCATGTACCATTGCAGTTAAAGTCACATGTGCAATGAAGAGGAAAGAAAAGAAAAAAAGAAAAGAAATGCTGGTTAGTGTCTATTATTTAGAAAACCTTGTCAAAACCCATCTTACTATACAGAGTTTGTGTAGAAAAAGAGTATTACACAGTGATCAAAAGAGGGTGAGGGAAGGGCATTTGTTCCCACCCCCTTCCCCCAAGACACAATAATGCTGAATCAAAGAAACAGGCACAGAAGAGTGTAAGATTCCTTCACAGTTATGTCTGTGCAGGTAGAGAGCCACAGCATCCCCCCGTGCACGGAGGAGAAACCCCCAAGCATCGTTAGGGCTGGTGAGAGGTGCCCGGGAAGCAGCCAGAGGGAAGGATTCCCTCTCTGGACAGGACACACACAGGGCAGGGCTGGCTGCCCGCAGGGCTTCAGTACGTTATGGGGACAAAAAACCCAAACATAGTCTCTTGGAGGGATGCAGAGGGGTAGCAGGGACCCAGCTCAGGAGTATCCCAAAGTGATCCACACGGGTCACAGAGCAGCTGTTGGACATGGCAACTTTTGGTCATCATCTATTGGAGGCAGCAGCCTGAACGCAGAAGAATACATATTCCTGTAGGAGATTTCATGGTCCAAAGCCGTATCTTTTCAGAGAACAGAAATTTGGGGGTTTTGGGAGGTTTTACTTTTTTTTTTTTTTAAAAAAAAAAAACCCAAACACCAACAAACACCTTAAACCCAAGAGTGTTTCCTTCTTAACACAGTTTAAACACTGAACCACCAAGCCTGTCTTGAGGCTTTCGACATGTATAATGCACACACTTCTAAGGAAAAAAGCACAGAGACACACACAAGCTGAGTGAGAAAGCAGAGATCTCCACACACACCTCAGGAACAGCTTTCATACGGCAGGGCAGAGCTGAGCGCAACTGAAGAGTGGAGTCTAGGGCCAGACTACAGCATTTTTGCCAAAGACTGCAAGAATTTTGTTTTACCTTTGACAAGGGCACATTTACAAGTTTTGGTAAGCAAGATGAAATCAGCTTCAATAGGTTTCCACGTTTTGCCAGATATGGACCTTTCTGGTTTCTTCAGCAGCAAGTGTTGGAAACCAGCACATCTCAAACAAGACTTTTAAACGCTGCTTTTGCAGGGCCAGCTTCAGAAACTGCTTCCCTGCAGCTTTAGGCATAGTTGGCAACAGCAGATACCCGAGGCTTTGTGTGGAGATCCCCATCCCAAAGGAAAAGGTTAAGAGGCTCCGTGAGGGTTGGTATTTGTTTTGATCTCCCCCAAACTTGCACCTTATCACAAGCTGCCCCCAAGCTCCAAACCTAGCACCTCCCACCCCAGCAGATACTTGTTCTGCCTCGCCTGGGAACTTTGGGGAAAAAGACACAGCAAGGGGAGGATGGGAGCTGGAGTGACTGAAGTTGCTGGCAGGAAAGTGTTTTGAGGCAGAAGTTAGAGGAATAGCTGGCAGAGGCTAAGATCTGCCTTTTTCTCTAAGACCTCCTTTCAGAGGGGGTTGCTCCTGAAGGCACCCAGGACAACCCCAGGAGTAGATGACCCCACTCTATGCACAAGCTGCACCACATCAACTTTCCACACAGTGCCCCCCTTCCCAGCTCCCCTGCTGCCTACAGGGCTCTGTGGGTGGCAACATCTCCCCTGCCCCAGGGTGAAAATTTGACAGCAGCCCCCCCCACCTCCCCAGGCTGACCATGGGGGCTGGGTCAGGGACCAGGCACACTATGGAGGGCAGTACTAGGATGCTAACACTTCTGAGACCGCCGCCTGCTCTGCTCCCGTGAGCAGGAAAGGAGTCCGAGACCCAAGGTAGCCCCACCAAGCCTACGCATGGATGGCTGCAGCCACATGGCAAAGAGGAGCAAACAGATGTGCTAACAACTTGCCCAGGCCTAGCTACAGGACTGGTATTAAGGGGCTAGTATCTCCCCCTACACCAACAGAAGCTGAAAGAAATCTGACTTTTTCACTCTTTAGCCATGAAAGAGAAAGCCAGACTTCGTGGAAACCCAGAGCCGTTTCCATCTGCTCTGGAACAGTTGAAAGTTTTAGCTGCATCTGGTTTGGGAAGATCTCAGCATGGTTTTGGATTTAGGCTGTAACAAGCCTGAGAGCAAAAACAAAGCCTTTGAAGTGTATGAGCAGCATACTTGAAAGTCACAGGAAAAACGCCAACATGGAAAAGAGGAGTGGGGCAACACCAATCCTGGCTAGGCAATACAGCACCCTACCAAATGGTTCAGCCTTTAGTGAAGGATGTCCAGTGCAAGCATCTCCTCTGAGGGGGACATTTTCCACTTCACCACAAACAGGGTTGTCTTATAAACCATTTGAATGCTAAAAAAACCCTAATTCTCAGCAAGGTACAACCATCCAGGCTGGGAGAGAGGAGGGAGAATATGTGCAAGGAGACAGTGTGGATAGGAGAGGCATTTGGAGGAAAACAGCCTGCGCTTGGCTGGCAAGCCCTACAAGCCTTATTTATGCTGAGCTCTTGGCAAGCTCTGCAAAAGTAAGGACTGCATGATTTGGATCAGAGCTTCGTTCTCTGTGATTCGATTCTTACTCATTAGCTGGCTATAAACAGAGTTAAACAAACCAGTCTGCTCCCACCACTCAGCATTTTCATAAAGTCTGAATTCCTATAGATGCCACAGATCCATCTGTGCATCTCAAAGCACTTGACGACAAGTTGAGTTTAGCCTCACAACACCTCAGTGAGGTAGTTATGACATTGCTCCCCTGACTTTGCACGGAGAGGGGGAACAAGAGAGACCCTGAAAAATAAAATGTCATAAAAAACACCCTACCAGGAGTCCCAAGCCCCCTTTTAGTCTCTCCTCACCCCTCAGCAGGCTGCATCTCTAAAGAGACCGTTCAAGAGGCCACGTCCTCTCCTTCAGATTTCATCAGGCAACATTCATGCTGCTGACACAAGGCAGAGCTTGTGCCCCCCTCCCTTGACAACGTCCTTTTCGACAGCAGGCAGAAAAGGCAGTGCTGAACCACGGCGCACAGACGAGGAAGCAGATGCAGCGTGAGCACACGCCACTTCCGTCTGGCTCTCTGTGTGTTCAAGGATTTAATGCAATTAAGACATGAGTTTCCTGAGCAGATACTGTCAGACAACCCCCCTCGTGGGGGAGGGAAAAGGGGAAGGAAATCCTGGGAAAGTAAGGAAGTTTTGTGGAGGTGCCTGTGACAAGGTGCTCTCACGCACATGGCACACCCAAGCCCCCAGCAAGGTGGTTCTTGTTCTGGCTTCACAGAAATGAGCCAATTCAGCCACAGGCAGTAGCCTCCACGCAGGTGTAACTGCTCCATAGTCTTCCAAGCTAGTCCCAGTCTCTCCCACCTTGCTGGTTATGCACATCATGAAATTCAGATACTTTAGGAGAGCCAAGTGGGAGATACTATATGCTTCCCCCATTGTTTTTTTTGTTTTTAAAAAAAAGTAATAAACCAACCTATTTTTTCAAAACAAAATACTGCAAAGGCCCCAGTCAATACATGAGTTCCCAAACAGACTACCAGAAAGCCTGACTTACAAAGAAACCCAAACACAAAGTTTAGAGAAGGGAAAACTCTACCTATTTCCCATCCTTTAAGGAACACGGGCTTGATCCTATCATGTACCAAGTCATTTAGTTTCTTCACAACCCCATCTGGCACATTATGTGGAGAAGAGAGGATCCAGGTGACTACCACGCACTTGTAAGAAAGGTGCAGGACACTGCAGCTGTCACCTGGATGGGGAATCTCCACTTTGGACCCTCGCTCACCAGGATGCTCCCTTGATCCTGAGGGGACTGTCCGCAGGTGCCATTGGACACGCGGCTTCGTTGCTGCTGAAGCTGAAAGAGGCTGGACCCCCCCCGCCCTGAACCCAACACCCCTGCTTAAGGTGGCTGCTCCCTCCCACCAGCCTGTGGTGGGCACTGGCCACCATGCACTGGTGGGAGCATGGAAGCAGCTCAGGGAAGGCCAAAGGGGACAATAGGGGTTGTCACAGCCCCTGGGAAGATGCTGTACCCTGGCAATGAAAGGCACTGGCTTTACCTTGCTGAACTGAGGCCCTCTGTGTTAAGACATGGGTATTGAGGGCACAGTCAGATCCTGCCTGAAAGAGATATTTGCGTGGTAAAAGACTGAGCAGAAGGAACCCAGCATTTGCATTCACACATGCAAATCCACTGCCACAGAGTTGGCGTGGGGGTGCGTCTCAGAGGGACCTGAGTGAAGGCAGGTCACTGCCAGCCTCAGAGCTGCTTCCAGAGTCACGATGCCCTGTGCCAGCAATCGGAGTTCAGGCACCGCTTCAGGCTCATCATTAAAACATAAAAACCTTCCAAAACCCCACAGAACCCATGTGATGCTGAAGTTGCACATGAAAGCTGGACTGATGGGCAAAGGCAGCCTTACAAACAAAACTGCACCTCTTGGAAGCAGATCCCAGAACTGAGCAGAAACTCCTGCAGCACAGAAAGACCAAGAAAAGCAGGTAGATTTTCAACATTCAGAAATAGTTTGGTATTTCTTAACTACAGCTGAAGGCGTACGGTGGGAAAGGACACACTGCAGTGTTTCCAGAGCACAGCAGTTCTCCAAAGCAAGTGCACGTGGCAGAGGTCAGCCCTTCCCTGGCTCCTCTCTTCAAGGAGGGAAGTGCTTTTGCCCGTCTTTTCCTCCAGACACCCTTGAAGCCAGCTAGAGAGGGAGAGGCACATTCCTGCCTGCACCCCCCCCTTGCCCTCAAAGAGGCTGTCAGTCATAGGGAGGGTCTGTGATTTATCTGAGGAGTAGCCAGCTACTTACCTACCCTGTCCCAGTGCAAACATGCAGCCCTTGCAGGTGCAAAAGAAAGCAGCAGTAAGGCAGACCCCGAGGGGACCGTGGCTGGAGAAACATTCAGAAAGCCAGACAGAAGGGGACAGAAACAGGGAGCCTTGGGAGTGCCCGACAAAGATGCAGGCAAGCAGGAGAAAGGAAAGCAGGTAAGAGATAACAGGGAGCTGTGTCACACACAGTTTCACTAACAAGCACTGATAAAAAAAATAAAATTTTGAAGAGCTGCAAGATGGGCTGATCCAGTTCAAGACAAAGCAACTTCACAGAGACAGAGAGAGCAAAACCATCCGCTACGCTCATACAGGTACACTGACAGAAGAGGGCACATGGAGAGGAGGAAAAGAATAAAAGTCTTCAGTCTCCACATCAGGTGGCTCACAGAAGCAGCCCTCTCCTACCCTGACTGTGATACCCTCTCCTCCCTGAGTGAACAGGGACTGCCATGCCCTGCTGCAAGCAGGTTGCTATAGCAGAGAGAGGTGGAGCAACGCGCTCTCAGAAACAGCTACAGGTAGCAAAAGCAGAAATACAAAAGCGCAGGGCGTAAGGCAGCGCTCCAACAAAAATACCAACGCTGCAGTCGTGCGGAGAAAGAGCAAGCATGAGATTTACAGTATGCCTGGAAAGGGGCGTGGGGAAAGAAAAAAAAAAAATCTGTTCTGTCTCCAAGGCTGAGCTAACCGAGCCAAGTCACCCTGTCGCCTCTTAAGATATTTCTTCTAGATAAGATATCCCAGCTTCCCCCTCCCTTTTCCAAATAAAGTGCAGATGGTCAAATATTACTGGTCCATCATCTGCCAGTTTCAGTCAGCATTGGGGAAATTAAACCCAAAAGCACAATATTGAAAAAAAAAAAAAATCCCCAGACAACCCACCCTCAAAACCCCTTAGACTGAAGTCTCAGACTGTAAGCGGAGGACAAATTTATGAGACTTAGGGTCTATGAACTCTTCTGAGAGTTTGATGAAGGGGATTTTCTTCACATTAACAACAAGGCTGAAGTCCAAGCACTTGAGGACAAACACGATGCCATCTTGTAACCCGCTTGTGACCGCTTCCTCGCTGACGAGTGTCCACTGCTTGGAGAACCAGCGATCCCTGTCGTACTGGAGGGTTGGGCCCGGGTTGAGGTAACGCTCCAGGAATGCCTGCCAAGAGAGGGACACACGTTAACGCCAGCCCATGACTCGCTCTGCATCAATGCTTTCTTCCCATCCCCACATACAGCTTCATGAGCACAGGCTTGCCACACTGCAGATTGTTTCAGCTTCCATGCTTCAAGAGACATCCTCTCCCCAGTCCCTCCCAGCTTTTCAGACCCCAGAAGCAGACACAACCACCAGGAGATCCTCTTTCAGTCCACCCCAGCAAACTCCCAAAGTTACAGCCTCAACTTCTGCTATCAGCACTACCCTTGGCAGCAGTTCAGTAGAGTAGAGGTCATTTCTCCCCTACCAACCCCATAACCCATCCCAGAATTGCAGTCCTAGACAGGCAGATGGGAGAGCTAGCCCTCCCTTCTTCAGGCCAAGCTAAGGCAAAAAGCAGAAGTTTCCATGTTTACAGCCTGAGGCTGCAAAACTGGAAGTGGAACAGGGAATGTCGTCTGACATCTCTTACATTTTAAAGTCTTTGCATTCTTAATGGCAGCAGAACTCCCCCTTGCACACCTAGGTGAGGGCTCCAGTGGATCCCAGTGAGAGGGTACTAAGCCCCGTCTCCTGACAGCATTTCTAACATAGTGAGTCCTTGATCAATGCCCACGAGTAAATTCTCCCATTTCTAACCCTTCTCTAGGATCACGGGGTGTTCTGAGAGGGGAAGGGGGACAGTGGGAGGGGGATTGTGTGACCTGTTTCCCCCATCATTCATTCCCTCCCTCTGTCTGCAGGTCAACAGTCACAGTCAGGGCATTAAGCAGCAAACTGACATTTGACCAAGTGGCCCATGAATGAGAAACACTGGCAGACAGACAGGCATTTAGGCAATAATTAGAAGCAGTCCACAATGCAGCACTGCAGAAGGGACATTAAAAAAAAAAGTCACCATCTCAAACATTTCTTTGGTACTCCCTGTGTTGAACTGGAAAGAACAATTCCCTCATAGACACTTTCAGATAAACAGAAGATGCTTTAGAGGAAACACTGCTTCCCTTTAAGACCTGATGCAACCTACAATGCACTGACCATATCACAAACAACATCTACAAAAGCATCAACTCACCTCCCTTGACTATTCTCTGTTTTGCATGCACACACAGATGTGCCATCCCTTTTCCCCCCTCCTTCCTGCACCAGTGTTAGGGAAAGCGTTACCTTTGGTGTCATGTTATTGGTGATGCAGAAGGACAAGTGCTGCAAGATGCTCTCCATACTGTGGTACTGCTGCTGGCGTGTGGTGCGAAGGTACTTCTGCAGAGCTCTTGCCATGGAGGGGAAGATTGCCTGGGCTGCTTCTCGGGGGTCCATCATCTCTCCTGGAGATTTCTGCTGTTCCTCTGCCTGGAGGCGTTTGATGTGAGTGAAAGCCTCTTCTACTGCAACCACAAGCCTGCAGAAGGAAAATCAGGACATCAAGAGCCATAACAGCAGAGGTAGGATGGGTCTGTGGTTAAGGCAGAGCCTGGGAGTCAGGATTTACAAGCTCCTACTCCCATCTCTGCCACTGAGTCACTGCCTGCCATCAGGTAATCTACATAAAACATTTGCCACTGATGGTCTGAGGAGTAGAGAGCAGCTTTTCTTTCCTTGCCCAAGCCATCCAGCAACTGAGGGTCATAAACCAGGGTTAAGACTTTAAAAGCCCAAGTGTCATACTTGGTTCTGCCAACACAGCATAAACATCAGCTACAGGACTCAAACTAAGACACAGCTGCCCTTGTGTTTAATGCCTGTCTTTGAAAACAACGGTTTCAGCACACAGTATCACAGTGTGAAGCCTAAGGACAGGCAAGCAGTCGGGAAAAGGCTGACTATAAACTAACATGACCCAAGACACAGACTGCTCCGAGACTCTCTGTGCTCACAAGCTGCAGTCTGATAGAATTTACACCAACCGGGTACCAAACTGATGCTGAATGATTGCTCTGCACCCTTCTGCACAGTGATGGGGCTCCTGTCTTCACTCCTAACACTGCAGCTAAAGACATTCTCTGCAAACTGTTCCCGGCACAGGTGAGCAAACACCAAGACCACACCATAAAAAGGCAAAGAGATGCCATATGCCACTTGCAAGTTAGCCCAGTACTAAGTAAGAAGTGTGGGAGGGGGATACACTGCAGTTAGTGAGGTAAAAACAATGATAATGGAAGAGTCACTCAGCAAAACTCTTTCACCCCTCCAGACAGTGCTTGTTTCACACTAGATTTCCATTCAAGTCACCAACTCCTGTCCATGCTGCCCTCAACACCAAAAGCATCTTAAAGCCAGGGGAAGCTGCCTCACGACAAGAAGAGCTATAGCATACTGATCAGACTACATATGAGGAACAGCAAGAGAAGCCCTGACCCCTGTCCGTTTTGTTTAATTGGACTTGGGGGAGTTGGGGGGTGTGTGTGTGGAAATCAGTTTCTAATCTCCTCATGTCTCTGCTGCAGCTCTGATCTTCCTCCTTGGAAACATCTGGCCTGATATTCTAGTGACTGATAGCTTTCCTCTAAGCAGCTGTTCTAAAGAAAATCATCAAGCAAGAGAGTCGTGTCTGAGTTCAGATGCTACACTGCACAGAAATGAAAATTTAAGTTCCTATTGCTCTGAGGCTGGAAGAGAGCCCGAAAGACAACGGCTATAGAGCACAGGTCAGACCAAAGCAGGCTAGCAGGACAGGGGACACTGTGCCAGCACTTTCTCAATGAAACATAAACTGCCAAAACAAAACAGAAAACAAGCCAGCTCCTTCCAGTTACGGCACATTCCTTCCAAACACCGCTCAGTTCAGGGATATCTGTCCATAAGCAATTTGCCTCAAACTGTTAAGTATGTTAACTACAAACGGTAATTAGGCTCCAGAGCAAACAGAGGCACTATCTTGGGTCATCTCAACAAAGCATCAACTCTGCAGCCTAAACGTGACTGGCAGAAAACATACTTGTGTCCCAAAATAAAATGTAACAGCTCTGGTCATGTCTTTCCTCCCCAACTCATTGAAAAGGGCAATTGAACTGCCCCTTTTTACTAAAAAATGTTGCAGATTTTCTGCAAACACAAAATAATCTCCTCGTCCATGAACAGGCAACACCAAGTGCTCCACCGATCCTGTCCCTGGATTACTTGAGCTGAGATGACAAGCCCGGGCATGAGGGAAAACAGTGGGATTTCCTACAGCAAGTAACTATAGATTTGTTAAGCACTGAATTGTTCCCTAATCCAAGACACTGCATTAGCTTATCTACATAATATGCATGAGCTCTGCTTTATTGCATGTACTTCAGATAATTCCAGTTGCAAGCTGTCACCACCCCTTATGCATCTGGGTTTCATACGCTTCTTCGCCACAACAGATTTACAGCCAACCCCCAGTCCTTAATCACAGGTGTGTCCCCCTCTTCGCATCAGCCTCACAGCATCAAGGAGCAGCACTCAGGAAAGGATGGCTTTACCTTGCACGGCGTTTTTTCACCCGGCGCTCGTGGTCGGCCTCTTCATAGTAGAGCTCGTTGTGACTGGAGTCCCTGCGACGGGCTGCGGCCGCAATCATGGCACGGGATTGCCCCGATGCATTGTTACCTGGGCCTTCAGGAGATGAGGACGAGCGAAAAGGAGACAAGAAAGGTGGTGTTACTGATACAGGGCAGGGGCTGGGACAGACCAGCACCCCACAGCATCTGTCACAAGTGCTCTGTGGCTCCAGCCTTCCCAGTCAAAGCTATAAACTCTTCCCCGATCCTGACAAGCTCTGGTAGAAACCCTGCTAGGCAGTGCAGGCTTTGGAGAGGGGGCTTTGGCACGTGGACAAGGGAAGTTAGTTGGGATGAAGGATCTCATGCAACACAACACAAAGGCAGAGGTGAGGCGCGCATGCTAAGGATGCAACTTACCACCCATTATATATGTTTTCAGTTTGAAGGCAAGGACAGCTGGAACACACCACATTTCAGCAACAAGACAGTGTGAGAGAACAAGAAATGATGAGTTGGAAAGAGGAGAAAGACACACAAGAACATCATGAGACGTGGAGATGAATGAACGAAAACCAAACTCCAGTTACACGCAGAGAGGAAAAACAGGATGCAGAGATGGCAGTCACCTTTAGCCAAAGCATAAGGTTTTCCAGAAAGGCAGATGCTGTCAGAGCAGCAGTCCTGCAACAGGGTAGGCTGGGGTCTATGTGTGTAGCAGCTTCCCATGGCACTCTGAGCAGCACCTGCCACTGCAGCTTCTGTTGCTGTTAACAGATCCTACACAGCTACAGAAACAGGGAAGCTGCAGCCTGCTCTGTAACACCCGGACAAGTGACAGCTCAGCTGTCCACTACAAGACCTTAACTAGTGACCTTAAAATACAGTAGCAGGTTCTGCAGCTCCCCCATGAAGCTCACAGCTCTGGCTGTTTGGACAGAGAGAGAGAAACAAACGTTGCCCCAGAAGAGTCTACCAACCCTTGTATCTAGATAAAGGATAAAGGTGGGTCTAACCAGAGGGAAAAAGGAAAAGTCTAGGACTGTCTCCAAATCACTAAGAGCTGCTTTTCTGACTAACTGCTCTGAAAGCCTATACTCTCAACTGGCAGTGGTTAAGGCCAATCAATTCTGCAGACATGCTTAAAATTGTTCTACTCATGCAAGGGAACTTTTAAAATGTTTTCCTAAAAAGCACAAACCAGATTCCAAGACAGAATCCTGAAGCCCAACAGTGGGAAGGACAAACATTCACACAGACAGCTTAAGAGTCACTTAAGACTTAGTTTGACAGCCCTGAAATGGAGAATATGACTCAAGGGAGACACTAGCTCCCAAATTTAGGTTAGAACTGTAATTTGTGTTGGTGACTACCCCTGGCAATGAAAATGCTGGTTCTGAAGGTGAGCCTCCCCACTCTGTATACGAGAGATTACATCAAGATGTTCTGCCTTCCCAGCTGCTCCAGTATCAAATACAAAAGCTGCCAGTAAACCAGGCTGCCTTAATAGCATTACTGTCTTTTCACATGGAGGGTGTAAGAGACTGTCAGGATGCCAAGGCAAGCTGCAGCCAGAACTACACTCTGCTTTGTAAAATGGATGGGAATCTTCTTAAGGACATGCCTCTAAGCCTGAGATTTCCATGTCCGCAAAGACAGCGGCACTGCACAAGGAACAGCCCAGGCAACCAGTACTGCTGGAGAATGCAAAGCATAGCTTTCAGGCCCTGGCAGGCTCATGAGCTTGACACTTGGAAAGGCCTGCCAGCCAGGAGCTTGCTTCTGGTTCCTTCTCTTCCAAAGTTTTGTGACCTAGCAGCTCCTAAGCTACTATTGCTACTAGACCAGCAGTTTTTCCTCTGAGCTTGGGAGTCCTGTTGTCCCAGCAGGTACTGCAGGAACAGAGACCCTGTCACCTTCTGAAGAGATGCTGCAGCACAGGAGAAGATGAGCCAGCTAGTAACCAGAATGGCACATCCTGCAGCCAGCCAGGAGGGCCACTGGGTTTAAATGGTGTGCAGACACCTGCAGGATCCAGAAGCCCTCTCTTTCTACACACAAGCCTCACAGAGTGAGCAGCTGGAATGAAAGATTTCACCTCTCGAAAAGTGCTGAGCAAGTCTGTTTGCTTCCCCTCTCCAACCTGAAAGCTTCTTCACCCCAGGCAGCAGGAGACACACAACAAAGCCTGTCCCTCTCTCTCCTGTCTACTTCCCCCTTCCTCTGTCAGGATAGGGACTTCTCACCAAGGATCTAAACCTCCAATTAATTTTACAGACTCAGCACTGCTGCATCAGGTTTGGGGAAACATTAAGAATAAGGTCTTTGAAATTTATGAAGTCACCAAAAATGAAAAAAAAAAAAAAAAAAAAAAAAACAAAACCATCATGTCTCATGTTTTCCAATGTGACTGATATTTTTCATATTTCAGTTTCCACACCTTGCATGCAGAACTACCTTGCCCAGCTAAGTCCCTTCAGTCCCTTCCAGCTCTCAAAGCCTTTCAATACTAACAAATTCACAGGCAGGATGTGCTTTACTACATCTTGCCACAGGACTTCAGCCATCCTTCACCATCAAAGCTTCCCTGCACAACTTCAGCTCTTCCATCAAAGGAATGCACACTTTTATACAGGCTGTGATGGCTGGGCACACTCTGCTTATCAAGCCCAGCTTTCACTGATAGGGGTTAAGAGTGTCAAATGATTAAGTGCAGTTTTCACTGCTCTGAGTGTCCACAGGGATTCACCCATCCATCCTCCTGCCGGCCTCTTTAAAGCCCGAAAGTTTGCAACAGGCTTGTAAAATGGCAAAGCTCAAGGGGGATAGTTATCTGCCTCTGAATTTCCATGAACTGCTTCGCATCACGATGACTTGGGAGCATGGCCACACATATGTCAGGCTCAGCTAATTTAGCGCTAAGGCTGCAGGCTGACAAGCGCTGCTTTTGCTGGCAACCTGCTGCTTACAGAGTTGCTTCTTCCCACACTGGTATCGACCTCCTTCACCTTCCTGAAGGCTGGCTGTGGAAGCAGCACAATATACGACTGGGGAACTCATTTAGGTTAAAAGTTGTGTTTATTGTACTATCAACAACCAAGGAGATGACCCAAGGGTGACAAAAAGCAGAGGCTGCTTAAAACAAGCAGTGGTGCTGAAAAGCACTTGTCAAGCCACATAATAATTAAGCCTGACCCAAAACTTGGCCATTTCACCTGGCAAAGACAAAAGCCTTATTGTGGGCTAAACACATCTGCAAATTCATCTGGAAGCATCGAACTCAGCACTGTCAGGAAGATTTCCAGCAAGAGACAAGGATTTGGCAAAGCAAAAAGGTGAGAATGTGTGCATAACAAAGCATAAAGCCAACCCAGCCCTTCCCCAACCCACCTAGTCTCAGACTACATTTTACCTCACTTACCATCAACATTGTAGACTTTCAGGCCAGCCATGTGCTTGGCTGCACGGGATTTGGAGGCTGTTAACAAGGCTGGGTTGTAGACTGTGAAATCTTTGTAGTAATTTTCCAGAACCACCAGTGCAGCTCGCTGGATGCTAGGGGAAAAAAAAACAAAACCAAACAACATAAAATCCCCCAATATGGAACAAATTATTTTGTTTCCTTAAAAAAAAAATAAAAAAGAAAAAAAAAAAGAGGTAGCCACATTATTTGGAACAGGGTTGTCACGCCCACAGAATTGTGCAATAGGCAGAACATTAATTACTCTCTCTAGGACCTGAAATTTCATTTGAGATGCAAGATATATGTCTCTGCCCTCACCTCAACAGAAGAATGACAGGAAATCCCTAAACAAGGGCAGCACACAAACTGAAGCACTGGGCTGCCTGAGTATGGGAAAACACAGAGCAAGAGCTCAGCCTGCCTCAGCAGTAGAATAGCTGCGACACAGAGACCTTGCCCAGGCTGAAGATCAGAGCACCACGCTGGTTTTGCTGTAGCTGGCTGGCCTAGATGGAGGGATCAGCTCAGGATGGATGCTTTTCCCTTTGAGTCATTTCCAGCCGCACCTCACAGCTCCTCAGATCTCCTCCATCCCAGCACTGACAAGAGCCCATCTCTCTTCAGCTTTCACAGCAAGATAAAATCACTGCCTGAGGAGTATGGCTGCCAGAGAAGGGATTACCTCAGTATTGCTTGTTAAATCCCAGGCGAGGGACAGAATAAGGAGAGTGACACTCCCTCCATCCCTTTGAAGGGATGCCTCTACATAAAATGATGACACATGGGAGCAAAACAGCACACGCGCCAGCAGCAGGAAAGGCTCAACCCAGAGCTATCTTCCTTTCAATCACTTCAACAACAGAGATGTCTGTAGACAACTGCTACCAACAAATAGGGCAGTATTTCAAAACAAGCCAGAGCTATGGTGTCTAAAATGCCAACACACACGTGGGATCTAGGACACAACTCTCTCCCCACTGCTATGGCTCCACGCCCCAGCGTGGAGTCCGGCCGGCAGCAGATCACCAAGATCACCGATTCAGCCAGCTGGAGTTTGCCAAGAACCCACACTTAATTTCATTTTGAACCCACAAAAGTTTTAAAGGGAACTGCCAACACATTTGTTGCCAGTTAATTGTAAAGTTTACACTTACCAACACCACCTCTCCTAAGGAAAGCAACCAAGTATTCTCACACATGTTACAACATAGGAAGAAAGTATTAGGAGGAGAGTAACGTGGGAAAATAAGACATCAACAAATTAAGACATAAATTCAGTTCTCAGCACTGCCACTGATTCAACACATGCTCCTGAAGGAGCAGTTTAAATCTTCCTGTGCCTTGTGCTAACACTAAACCTCTGCATCACACCCCAGTAATTTAAACACACACTCCCCACCACCACCCTCAGTCTCCAGCTGCCCCCCCTCCCACTGATCAGTGAACACAAAGTGTAGATGCCAGCCCATTCAGAAGATTGAGAGAAAAACAAATCCAGACTTTTTCACCGTGTACTTTCGTCAGTCAGTATTATGGTACAGCACCATACATTTCATTAGCTGTATACCTTTCAGATGATGAATTGAGCTTTTGAAGCAAATTCCATCTGTTTGGTGGGGTCTTTTGCATCCAGCTAGAGCATCTTAAAGCAGCTTTACCTTTCAGGTGACGATCCTTCGTATTTCCTCATATCAGGTTTGTTAAAAGTAGCACTCATCTACTGAAATGTAACAAAAAGCCACTACTTCATCAAGGAAATAATTTTCCTTTAATGAAGTAGTACAGACTGACCCACTGCCACAGAACAAATGAAAGTCAGTTTATTTCTCACTGCCAAACTTCTGATTTCTACTTTGAATTTGCTGCAGCTTAAAAACAATATTTCATAAAAAGTCATGAGGCAGCAGCACACATTCCCCCTTCTGACTGCATTCAAACATGACCGAGTTTTTCCATGTCTGCTTCCCATAGAGTTTCATCTCAAAATGCAATGTTTGGAAAACTAGGACCAACTGAATACAAGAAGACAAAAATGAACAGTTATACCCTGCTAATACACCGCACTCAGACAGTGTTGGGACTTCCATCCCAGCAGTGGGAAATGTCAGGGAGGTATTCCATTGACCAACTAAGCTCTATTAGGAGAAAACATAATGCATCACAGGAGAGAGTAATTTATTTTAATACATACATATTTTCCCTGGACCCCACAGAGAACATTATCATCAGGATGCCAGCCTTCCCCACCTACTACCCCTTCCATTCCCTCACTAAACCCACCCCACCAACTCACTGCCACATGTACCCAAAATCCAAACGCAATAAAGCTTTTACATGTCTATAAGCAACCATCATTGCCCTGAAAATTAAAGCCCAGCTATTTTTTTTTCACCGATGAAAACTGAGTACAGGCTCAGTCCCACATAAGAGATACCCCAGTCACACAGAGGGTCTGCTCTCTAGGGAGAGGATTGCAATTAAACATCAGTTTCCTAAATTTCTACCAGGCCACTTCTGTTTTCCATGTAGTCTGTCCTAACCACGGCAGGTTAGGAAGACAGCTGTACTGTGACTCTTCAAATTTTCATTTAAAGAACAAAAAAAAAAGAGAGAGAGAAGATGCTGCAGACAAGAAAATTAGAAGGGTCAAAATAATTAGCAAAGAGCAAGGAGAAGGCTGAGTCAGAGCCTTCCAGGCTGCGTTGCTCAACCTCTTCACCCACATCAAGGGGAAGCCTCACCCTGCACAGCACAGGACAGCCGGCCCTGCCCTGTACGGGAGCTGCAAAGCAAGAGGACCCCTAGTCTGACCAGGCACAGCTGTCCCAAACAGGGCAGAAAGGGACCCAACACACATGTGCAACTCAACATGCAAGGAAGAGGGTAACTGCAAGAAAATAAGGATCCAGAGCAGCCCTGAGGAGCGAAGCAAAACGCTAAGGAAGCCTGCTGTCTCGCAACAGAAATTTAGGGGGTTTGGGGACTTTTCACTGCAGGGCAGAGCTTCTGCTGCCTTGTGAGCAATGTGAAGGGGATGCAGCAAGGCACCTCTCCACCCGCACACCAGGTCCGATGGGAATGGTAACTGGCAGCTTTCCCGGAACCCGCGCTCAGAGGCTGTTTCCGTGCGGCAGTGTCTCGGGAGGAGCTCAGCACCGCGTCAGTCACTGCATTCATTCACCCCACACTTCAGCAAACGGAGGCTTTCCTTCCGTTTATAATTTTAGAAGAATGGGGAGGGGCAGGAAGAACATGAACGGAAAGTCTCAATGCTTAACTGCCTGTTTGGAGAAGAAGGTCAGAGTGAGGATCCTCCTCCTGTCCTACAAAGAGGATCTGGCAGCCCACTATTTCAGGCATTGTAATAAACTACGAGAATAGAGAAAAATGTTATCGGGACACAGAAAGCATTTTCATGCAACAGTTCAGACTCAAAAACCTGTGACATGAGAAAAAAAACCCCAAACACCTCTCGCACAGGACAGTGGCCTACTGGAAACCCTGTTTTCCTTGTAGGCAGTATCAGTAAGGCTCTACATTTTGTTGCTTTGCATTTTGTATAGTTGGAGGGTTGCTTGATTTTTTTTTTTTTTTTAATTGTTACTACTACCCTGAAGGCGGCCATGTCACAGCACACTGCCAAGAGGGAAAGCAAACAAGAAGACGCAGCAGAAGCGCAGAGTACCTCAGTGGCATTTGGCAGAGAAATGGCAGAGTCCTTTACAAACAGTAATGAATTAACTTTTACAGGGCATCCAGGGAAGTGGAGGAAGGGACACGTAACACAAAGGCAGCAACTATTGCCAGGTTTTCTTCTCTCAAAAGGTAAGTCAGGAACAGTTTTGTCTGAACACTTGCTGCTATACAGGATTTTGATATTTGAGGTCTTGCCATACTTTAACTCAGAGGCCATTTTGGCTTTGTATTTGCCTTTTGTGACATAGCTACACTAATACTGAAATTGGGTTTTTTTTAGAGGCTTTCCAGGAAAATGAGCCAGTGCTATGCTGAGGCAAAGCACAAGGAAAGAACCCTGTTTATATAACCAAAATACTGGCTTTGGGCCCTACTCATTTCTAGAAAAACGTTTTGAGTCTTCTGAAGTGGTGGGAAAGGGTTAGTGAAAAAGAAAAAAAATTGAAGCCACACCTCTACACCCGAAGTTGCCAGTAGACACACTAGGGTCAAACCCAGTAAGCTGCAGTCCTCATTCACATAGTTTTAGCAGTTTTGTGTTTTCTGGCTAAGCTAGAAATGTGACCTGTCATGGTACTGTACCAACCATCAGCTAGACATTGCCAATCATCAATGGCAGAGGAGTGCCTTGGGCTTTTGCAACAGATATAAATTCACATTCAGAAAGAGCTGAGCTGTTTGCTACCAGAGCACCCACTTCCCTACCTTGCTACAGAGGCAAATCCTGCAGCATCAGAGCTTAGGGTGAGTTACACACCTAAAATCCACAGGGATAGTCAAGACAGCCCTGGCCCTTGCTGTGCTAATTGAGGGCTGAGGGTAGAGAAAGACTGGGGTTATTTAATCAAATGGTTCCCAACACAGACTCCTCCAAACAACATCTTTTTGTGTTCTCCAAAACAGACACAGTACCAAAACAAGCCAAGGTCTCTGGGCACGTAAAATACACGCCACAGCCAATTGGGAAGGTTTGGCACCTCAAAGAGAAGCTGAGCAAAGACTGCACAAAGCAACTTTCCACACAGAGCCAACTCTGCCTTACCAGCTGTCTCCAGTCTACAACTGCATAAAGCTTATCTACTGCAAGAGATGCTGAGGTCTCCTGGAGTGCTGAGTTGCTCATCCACAGCACTTCTTACTCTCTAGAAGTGCTGCCAGCTCATACCCAACAGGCTTAGAAAACATCTGTGCCTTCCCAGAAACACCCTACAACCACATCTCCCTCCCAGAAAGCCCTTTTCCTTCACATGCTCTTTTGCTTGGCGCAGAGCTGAGGCTCAAGTTCCTGGTCCTTCACCACGCTTGACTGCTCTTCCAAAGCAAAGTCACCAGGACCAAAGCCTTGGAAATAAAACTGGAAATAGACAATTGCAATTAAAATGCCTCCCACATCAAC